TTGCTGCAGAGGCTGAAGGGGTTGGGGATCAGCCTGTCAGTGCTCAGACCATACGCCGCACACTGCATCAAATTGATCTGCATGGTCATCCCAGCAGGAAGCCTCTTCTAAAGATGATGCACAAGAAAACCTGCAAACAGTTTGCTAAAGATAAGCAGACTAAGGACATGGATTACTGGAACCATGTCCTGTGGTCTGAGGAGACCAAGATAAACTGATTTGGTTCAGATGGTGTCAAGCGTGTGTGGTGGCAACCAGGTGAGGAGTACAAAGACAAGTGTGTCTTGCCTACAGTCAAGCATGGTGGTGGGAGTGTCATGGTCTGGGGTTGCATGAGTGCTGCCAGCACTGGGGAATACAGTTCATTGAGGGACCCATGAATGCCAACATGTACTGTGACATAGTGAAGCAAAGCATGATTCCCTCCCTTTGGAGACTGGGCCGCAGGGCAGTATTCCAATATGATAATGACCCCAAACACACCTCCAACACAACCACTGCCTTGCTAAAGAAGCTGAGGGTAAAGGTGATGGACTGGCCAAGCATGTCTCCAGCCCTAAACCCTATTGAGCATCTGTGGGGCATCCTCAAAACAGAAGGTGGTGGACCGCAAGGTCTCTAACATCCACCAGCTCCGTGATGTTGTCATGGAGGAGTGGAAGAGGACACCAGGGGCAACCTGTGAAGCTCTGATGAACTCCATGCCCAAGAGGGTTAAGGCAGTGCTGGAAAATAATGGTGGCCACACAAAATATTGACACTTTGGGCCCAATTTGGACATTTTCACTTAGGGGTGTACTCACTTTTGTTGCCAGCGGTTTAGACATTAATGGCTGTGTGTTGAGTTATTTTGAAGGGACAGCAAATTTACATGTTATACAAGCTGTAGACTCACTACGTCACATTGTAGCAAAATGTCATTTCTTCAGTGTTGTCACATGAAAAGATAGAATAAAATATTTACAAAAATGTGAGGGGTGAACTCACTTCTGGGAGATACTGTATGTGTTTATGCTAGCTGCATGAAAAGACACGTCATTATTTTTATAGGATTCCACAGCTGTCTTAAATAACATTTCATCTGCCTGGGGTTCAGGTTTACATTAAAGATGTGCTTGTGTAGAAAATTTGTATATCTTTTTTAAAAACTAAAGTGGGGTGTGAAGTTTTCATTACACATTGTGGTAACTCACAAAGCACTAAAGCTACGCAGCTACACATCCGCTAATGCAACACTTTTCAATGGGCCTTAACATAATTCATGTAACATAACCTGCTTGAACGCACAGCAAAGTAGTAAATGTGCCTCTAAAATGCTTATTAAGAAGATATTTTTGTTGTCTTTACAACAAAGCTGCCCGGGTGACACTGAGAGAACGTCTACTTCTCCTGTGTTAACCACTTGCCCACCAGAGGACTTACCCCCCTTCCAGACCAGGTATGTACACATACATACATACACAACACACACGCGTGATTTTGTGCAGCCCGCCGCCTTGTAGCAGTAGTTCCGCTATAGGGTGGTCAATATTGACACAGGAAATTACCTGCAGCCAAGATACATGCCTGCTAGATAGAGTCCTGGGAGCGCCGCAAGATCATGATTGCCCTATATCTTTAGCGTATGTAAAGTTTGGTTGTCGAAAGCACCAGTGATTGGGCATTACTTTCAAAGGCAGCACTAAGTTCCCCCCAAAAAAGTTGTAACAATGTGTAAAACCTACATAAAAACAGAATGCAATCATCTGAAAATCTCAAACGCATAATTTATTCACAATAGAAAACATGTTTAAACTGAGAAAATTTACCATTTTAAGAAAAAATAAGGTCAGTTTGAATTTGAAGGCAGTAACACATATCAAAAAAGTTGGGACACGGCCATGTTTACCATGATGTAGTGTCCCCTCTTCTTCTACCACTCTATAAACATCTTGGTACTAAAGGAGACCAGTTGCTGGACTTTTGGGACAGGAATGTTGTACCATTCTTGCCTGATATAGGATTCTAACGTCTCCTGGGTCTTCGTCGTACTTTTCCATTTCAAGATGTACTAAATATTTTCAGTTGGTGAAAGGTCAGGACTGCAGGCAGACCAGTTATGCACCCGGACTCTTCTACTTTGAAGTCATGCTGTTGTCATAAATGCAGTGTGCGGTTCAGCTTTGTCCTGCTGGCATATGCAAGAACTTCCCTGAAAGATGTGATCTGGATGGGTGAATATGCTGCTCTAAACCCCAGTTCATAGTAGAACATGGTATGGGGAAACTTGTGATTTGTGCGCATTTCCCGAACTGAGTTTCAATCGCACTGCCTTTGCAATCTGCAGCAGGTGTCAGCACAAAAACAACACCCCAAACGCAATGCTTTTTCCTGCATCGGATCGCATGGTACAAAACCACAAACTATCCGGTTGCAGAGTGTTTCTAAAATTGGTGCATGCACTACTTTGGTGTGATGTGGTGTAATTTGAGCCCATTCCAAATCAATGGACTCAAATTGCACCGTACTGAATCACATGTGAATCGCACAGGAATGTGGTGTGCGTTCCTATGAGATTGATAGTATGAACCTAGGCTAAAACCTAGATATACAGTATCTTTCAGCATTGATGGCACCTTTGCATATGAAAGTATGAAAATCCATATGGAAGTATTCCTGAGCCCATGGACGGATGTCCATCACAGAATCATGTCGATCGGTGGAAATGAAGTAAACATTTTTTGACCTTTGTGAATCCTTCCATTAGCCAACTGTATTTAAAAGAAAGGTATTTACTTTCATTGCTTGTACTTCCGGGGTTACATTTTAACACGCACATGCGTTTGAAAAAAATCTACAACTGTTTTCACTACTGATACTTAGAAAATCTATCAGTTTGGCTCAAAATATCTGACATGACTGTTAATCTGTTTGCCATAAAACGCTGCGTTTCGATAATCACAATTAGCCTTCTAACATTTCAAAAGTTGAAGCATATCGAATGATTTTTCAAACAATTTTCTAACTGTGTATGGCGAGCTTTATTTTACCAGCTTTTTGTTACCCTGTCCAAATTGAGACGTATTGCTGCCTTCAATTTACAAAATTACCCTATTTTTTTTTTTTTTTTTTTTTGCATGAAATGGTACATTTTCTCAGTTTAGACATTTGATATGTTTTCTATTGTGAATAAAATATCGGTTTATGAGATTTGCATTCTGATTTTATGTAGATTTTAAACATCTTCCTAATTATTTTAGAAATGGGGCTGTAGAATTCCAAAAAAAGAGGTTTAAGGTGAGAGGCTACAGCAGGGACTGATCTGTCTTGATTTAACACTGAACACCAAGCTCTCCATGGTATTCTATTGTGCTCATTCAAATCTGTGCTTTTGCTCAAAGCTCAGAAAAAAAAAAAAAAGGTACAAATCCGCTGTTTGGAGCATGATCAGGCATGTTTGGCCCTAATAGACCTCAGTGGGAGGAACCTACAATACAGCCTTCAACAATCGTCATCTCCTCCTAGTAACTAGTTTTATATTGGCTACAACATTCAGCCTGCCCATACATGGATCGAAATTCGGATGGTTCCTGCTGAACTGGCTGAATTTTTTTTCCACCTATGACCGGCTTAACCCTCTTTCTACAGTTAGGACTGGACCAGCATCTGGCTTTCAGGAACATCAAAAGTTTAAGTCCCTGCTCTTTTCATTCTTTTTAGAGACCGTTGTCCTCTCTGTGATTAAAACCTTTATACAGAGAGGTCTCCCACATGGTTCCCCTGTGACTCTGTGGGATCTGAATCTGGTTTTCTCTGCACTTCAGAAGTTGCCGTTTAAACCCTTATGAGATAGTCTCTCTCAATTCTCACCCACAAGTTTGGTCTTTGGTCTTGCATAAGGCCAAGGCGGTGCTGAGGCACAGGAGTTCTTTCTGCATAAGGTAGTCTGTCTTTCACCTTAACTAGAGCCTTGGTTTCCTATCCAATGTCTAAATGTGGTTTGGGCTGTGCAAGTTTACTTCTCAGCCACTGTTTCTTTCAGGAAGACCGATTCCCTTTTTGCCATTCCAGAGGGACCTCGAAAGGGCACCCCAGCTTCTCATTCCACCATCTCTAGGTGGCTCAGACAGAACATCATTGAAGCTTATGGTCTCAAGTTTGGGTTCCACCCTTTGCGGTTAAAGTTCATTCTACTAGGCCTGTGAGCAATTGTGGGGCTTTTCGGCATCAAGCAACGGTTTCCCAGATTTATATGGCTTCCACCTGGTCTTTTCACAAGTTCTCTAAGTTTTACCAGATGGATGTTTCTGCTTCATCTGATGCCAGTTTTGAGTGTAAGGTCCTTCTTCTGGAGGCTCTTTGATCTGCCAGCAGCCCCCAGTTTTCTTTTGTAACATTGAGCATGTTAACATTTTTTTGTTGCTTAACCCTCAGTTGAACTGCTTTTGGATATCCCAAAGGTTCAATTCTTCCTGTGTACCTCAATGGACAAGAAAGAAAATAGGATTTTTGCATTCACCTTAAAATCCTTCTCCTGGAGTCCACTGAGGGATAAAATTCCATGTCTCTGTGTTTATGACCATGCTCTTGGTACTGCTTTGCTGCAAAACTGAGGCATGCTGATAGTAGGAGAAAGGATTACCCTGGGTCAGTTCTCCTGCAGGCAGCAGTATAACCTAAAAAGTAAAGACCTCCTGTATACTTCAAAAGACTGCAACAAAAAGAATCCCATTTTTATATTAACATTTACACAATAAATGAAAACAGTTGATTTTTATAAAAGGGTACAACAAAACAACTTTAATATATATATATATTTTTTTTTTAAAGGTGGGAAGATTAGTTCTTTGTTATCCACAAAACCCTGATATCTTATTATTCTCATTGTATTAAAATAGGTTGCCAGGAGTCTGCACATTTACAGGTGATAGAAAATGCTAGAAATAAGCCAAAATGGTAAAAAACTGATCCATGTTCTGTAAAATGACTGAATTCATCACTGTATATCAGAAAATAGTTCATCACTGTCTTCCAGCCTTTCCATTTTCATTGGGGTCCGTTCTGCAATGAAATAGAAAAAGTTCAACTTTATGTCTGGGCAACATCTGGAAAAAAAACTCCGCAATACGTGCATATTTTCCCATGTTGCGACACTTTAACCACTTGCACTCCTGAGGATTTACCCCCCTTCCTGACCAGGCCATTTTTGCGTTACAGCGCTGCGTTTCTTTAACTGACAATTGTGCGGTCATGCAATGCTGCACCCAAATGAAATTTACGTCCTTTTTCCCCATTAATTGAGCTTTCTGTCAGTGGTATTTGATCGCCTGTGTGTTTTTTTTTTTTTTTTTGCACTATAAAAAAAAAAAAACCCGGCAAGTTTGAGAAAAAAAAAAAAAAAAAAAGCACTGACACTGTACTGATGGCACTGGGCAGGAAGGGGTTAACATGAGGAGATCAAAGGGTTATCTCTGTGCTGGGAGTGTTTCACTTGGGGGCGGTGTGTTCGTGCTTCACTGTAAGCACACTGCTCTGCATGGCTGTGCTGTGCACAGCCATCCAGAGCAGTGTGCCCGAGCCGACAGGGAGGAGGACTGTTAGTAAACAAAGCAGCCCTCCTCCCCGTCGGAGATCTTCGGTAATCACCGACCGGGACCCGATGATTGACAGCAAGAGCCGCGAATGGCATGGCGGGTAGGGAAATGCAAAATCACATGTATATATACTGTATATACACGTGATTTTGCACACCCCTGCTGCCCTGTAGCAGTATATCTGCTATAGGGCTGCGGGGATGTGGTAAACAATGTTTAAAAGTACAGAAAAATACCTGTTGATCCTGACAGAAATCCAGTGTGTTTCTAACTTACCGTTAGAGTTGACAACACTGCCTCTGCTGCACTAAAATCCTAAGCACGGTTGTCAGCCCTTTCCAGTTCACCTTGCAAAGCACAGAATGCCTTTCTGCTAAGTTATGGAGACGAGAAGAGATTTTACTTATTATTTCCTGCAATAGGGTGACAAACATGCTTCTTTACAAATACATTGAATGAGAATGGTCACCCCAGGATGTGTGTCACTGTCAGGAAAAGTAGTTAAAAAAAACTGAAAAAAGAAAACAAATGCAGTTTGTAATTTTTGTGCTCTGTTATGGATATACAAATTTAGACTAAAAAACCCACAAAAAACAAAAACAAACCACCTCATCCAATCAGAAAATGGCACCTGTGCCATGCAGCTCACCTTATGTGTTCACAATGCAGCAAGGCAGTCACTCAGCACGGGACCTGGAAGCTAGTGGAGATCACTGGGGTAGCGGTGTTTAGTACAGCGATTTCCAGCTTCAAGAGGGATCCAACGTGTTTGCTATATGCATAGTTACATTGGTCAAACCTAAACCAATGTTACTATGTAAAAAAAAAAATGTCATACCCAATATTCTTAAGGATATATTAATGAATACAGGCCTGCATTAATTTGTATATTTTATATCTGCCTGGACTTAAGCTTCAAATGTAATAAAGTTATTTCTTGGTTACATATTCTGCTTTACACAGACCAGACAGCATTGGGCTGATGCAGTGTCAGAAGATGAGGGGGCCTGCTGGGAAAGGAAGATGATGGACAGGCTCATACTGGCCCCATCCATACAAGTCAGCCTGACAAAGACACTGCTGCCTGTCTTCATCTCTCTGCAGACAGCCACATCTTCCGAAAGGTCCTCTCCAAACTATGCTCATCTTCCCTGCAGCTCTCACCCGTTCTCTTCCTTTAGGTGTTGGTACAGTTCAGCTTTGTTGTTGACAGAGTTCGCACGTCCATAAAACTCTTGATGTTTCCTGGAATTGGCAGCATTAATTCTTGAACTCCACAGAGACAGCAAAGACATTGGACCTGTAGACACCAAAATAAATTAAATTAACTTGGGAGTATTTTTCAAAAATCTAGGTCAAAAATAAAATGTTACAAATTTATATACATTTTCTTTAAGTACAGTGAAATTGATCTTTATCGTTATAAAATCAGGTATTTAATTAACCCTCTTCATGATCAGAGGCAACCAGGGCCTAGATGCCCTGAACAAATTTAGCAGCATCAGCATGTGTAAGTTACATTAGCTGTTATTAATTTGGATACCAAATATATTTAATAGTTTTCAGGATGCATAAGACTTAGTTGTTCACTGTTTTAATACCAAAAAAATATGTTTTTAATGCAGGCTGACAGATATGCAAAAATGTTAGAAGTAAATTAAAAATAAATAAATAAGTGTGTGTGTATATATATATATATATATATATATATATATATATATATATATATATATATATATATATATATATATATACACACATACATACATACATACACACACATATACATACTTTTTTTTTTTTTACTGTAATTGTATCTGACAATAATAGTATTAAACAGATGAACACTGCCACCTTCAAGTTGAAGTGATGTTTGCAGTGAACTGTTCAGCATTCGGTCAGCCAGTCATAGCTGACCTAGTGATCACATGATCATGAACCACTCCAATGGCCAGTGGGAACCAGAATTATTACTGACAGCCAGCTGGGTTTAGAAAGTAGGACGTTATTTTACATATCCTCAGCATGGGGCATCGAGAACAGTAATCTACAGAATGGGAATGGAAAGGGTTTAAAGAATATCTATTCTGCATTACAGTAGTTATAAACAAACTACAAAAGCAGACGGGGCAGTGCTGTATTTAAACTTCATGCTATCCTGAGACCAGATGAGTAAAGACTGACCTGACTCTATTCCTTTTACCACACAGTTGTTTTTTGAAAAATCTATAATGCACTACAGGAGGAAACCTGCTATCTACTCTATATAAAGAACCATAATATAACTGTGCAGACAAAGCCACACAAAAGAAAGAGGAGATGGTTTTGTATTGCATGATCTAGAGGGTTTTGTAACTTATCTAAATAACTCTGAGCTGCTTCCTTCCAGTTTTTTGCAGGCCGTATGCCACCTTATCCATTGACCTGAATGTATCAGTTAATAACCATGGACCTGGCCGCTGCTCAGAAAGAAGTCACGGTGCGGGAGCCCTCATTTCTGCACAGGTTACAAAATTTCACCATCAGCTCTTATCAAAATGTATAAAGTCTTGGGGCACTGTTAGTAATGACAGCAAACAACTGCTCACTGTCTGAACCTTATTCAAGGAAAATCTGCTCCACATTGGTAGAAAATGACATGAAAAAGATACTGATTTATAGATAGACATTTTAAGGTATAACAGACATTGTCCGCATCCCTAAATAAACAGTAAGAGAAAAAAAAGGTCTGTCATCTTCAACATCTGGAAATAAAGGGAGCGCACTGCTGCTGAAGGACTGCAAAGATAAAGATATATCCATCAACCTTATATGCAATAGTTTGTGTTCAGATTAGCAAAAAGAGGACCAGTCATTATGCGGCACTACAAAGCAAGAAGCAGAGTACTAATTTATTTTGATGGGCATTAAATTTGACATACAAGTGCTACTTTTTTAAATGTATACATTACAAGTTCATCACAAGAAAAATAAAAGTTCCCATTCAGACACTTTGATAAGGACAAATCCAGCAGTTTCCCATACTGACCTTTAGTTTTCTCTATGGGGGTGACATCCTCTATGGCAATATGTGGTTTTTTGTTGGGGGGGGCTCTGGAGAATCGGGCGAGTCTTTTATAATTTCAGCCTCTGCCGGGTCCTCTTTTTCCCGGTCTATTGACGATTTCATCCTAAAATACAAAAATGATTATATTTACTTCATCCAGAGTTATAGTTTCATACCTGAAATTCTCAATACACCAAGGAATTTATACCATACACAGGTTTCTCAGGGCTTTCGGCATTGGCAATTTCAGGGTCATTCCTCTTGTCTGATTCCATCATGATAAATATTAGCGTGAGGATTGAGGAACTGCCCTTAGATGTTGCAGTACATTACTGTAAGGGAGATTATTTTTTAGCAACTCTGTCATTCACCTAAAATAATCTAACTAGCAATTCCCTGCAATAGAAGAGCCAATAAACTCACCTCTTCAATGGCCCGTGCCATCTACCTTCCCTCAATTGCTGCAGCCTAATAGACTCTTCGGTATTTGAAACTTTTGGCGGTTTCAGATGCCTGTTTTTCCTGCAACATGCTGTGGCCCTGTGTTCTGACCCCTACATCACTACAGGGCAGGTAGACTCCATATTTTTCCCAATGTTCCTTTCATTCTTTGCAAGTGCAGTAATTGTCAAGGGACAGTTGTCTGTTTTTGCATTTCTCCTGGTGAATTCTCTGTAACTAAACATTTAAAGGGAAGCCTTTTTTGTAATCGCTGTGCAAGTAGGTGGAGATGGGAACTTGGGTGAGGGAATCTGAAGTCATTAGTGGGTGTTTTAAGTCTCCTACAAATGCCCATAGCTAAAATGTTGGGTTTGGATTTACTGACCCACTAAAGCAGAGCTATACTTTTAAACAGCCTTTTGAACAACTAAAAAGCCCCTCTAATCTTTCCTATACATACCTCAGGTCAGCGGGAGACCTGGTGCAGTATCCACAGACTACGCCATGTGGCACTCTTGTCCTATATTCAACCAGTGGGGCTGCACGGTACTGCGCATACGTGCCCTATCATCCACAGGGCCTACTGGAAAAGCTGTCAAGCAAGCCTGCAGGTAGGAGAAAGCCTTGCCTTTAAGGTCTATGGAGAATAGGCTTGTGGTATGTAGAAGATAAGGTAGCTTAATATGAAAAGTTATTTATAAGTATAGATATCCCTTATACAGAGTATGCCAAGTTATAAGTGAAGCATTTGGAAAATAATTGGTCAAGAAGGGTTTTCTGTGATCAGTCAGCAAATTAACCTTGTTGGTAAACTTCATCAATCCTAAGAACTCATGCACACTGGATATTTTTGCAGCGGCTTCTAGGGGGCGTCCGGCGTTTTTTTTATTTTCCTGCCTCTAAACTTCCCTGCATGTTAGCCTATGTGTCCAAGCACACACAGGCTTTTTAGCAGCGTTCAGTAGCAGGAACTTTTTGAGGCAGTAAAAAAAAAAACCCCACTGGCAGTGGGTCCAGGAGCAGCAGTTTTGATAGAAAAAAAGTTTGAAGCTGCTAAACGCACCTAAACGCCTAGCGTTTAGCACTTCATTTTACTAGCCATAATAATAATTATTAGGCTATATTATTATTCTGGCCAATTAAATGAATTAATGTTCACTCTCCTGACGCTAGTAAACGCGCCTAAAAACTTGTAAAAGCTTTACACACTTTTAGAAGCGTCAGGCTTTTTTTTTCTGCCAAAACGCTACTGCCAAGAGGAAAGACTTCTAGGAGAGTTTGCCAAATGAGTGCATGAGGTCTAAAAAAACGTGTTGTTAACCAGGTCTTTGTGTTACTGGATATGTCGTTTTATATCATAAAAATATTCTCAACCTGAACTAAAAACCATTGTTGTGATGGGTCAGCTGTGTTTTTCAAACACAACCTAATCTGCAAAAGTTATAACATCACCGCCTGGTCAAAAACATCTTGAGACAAGCAAATAAAGGCATGTTCTACATTGCACAGCACATTTGTTACACACATATTTAAGATGTATTCCTTGGACCCTCACACCCAAACTGCCCCCCCTTCCCCAACTTACCTGAATCACAACTTAGGTTTAATTTTCAATTTGATGCAGCTGTGAGTGCTTCCATCTACACAGCCACTGCATCCATTACCAGAGATCTTTGAATGGAGATACTAGAAGTCCCATCTACCACCCCGTGATGTCACTGCACTTGTAGACCATTAAAACTTCCTCCAGCTCCAGTCCATACTTGGGGCTTGAGGAACAGTCTGCAGGAGCCTGTACTGCGCTTGCGATCCACTGATTACAGTTCCATCACTCTACAGGCCCAAATGCAAAAATAATAAATGCTCATTTTTTAATATGGATGCATCTATTATTTTAGACCATGACTTTAAAGATATACTACAGTCAAAGGTCTATTACGATAAAATATGGGGGGCTGCATTTAAATCTAAACCCAAGAACAAAATTATAATATATTGCAGCTTACCAGTCCTTAGATGTGGTGACTGCATTGGTTTTCTATTTTCTGGGTTTTTTATTCTTTATTTTCATCTGGAGATCATGCCAGTAACATAATTCCTGTCCTGGGGCAACAACACTCAGTGTATTGATCAATGCTGTCACCTTAGGAAAGGAATACAGATTACCGACAGAACTCTCAACAGCCAGGATACAAACCTGACAGAATTTATAACCTTCTCCTGCTCGATTCAAAAATAAAATAAAAATGTTTTGCCAAAGTTGGCATGGCATATTGGATGGCATCTTCTGAATCTTTCCAATTTTGTATCCTGTCATATGTGACTTTGTAACATACCTTTCAGATTCCGCCCACTTCTTATCGTGTTCATAATCCTTCCCAGCAGGCTTGTCCTCTTTGTCCTCTCTCTTTCTTCCTCTCTTCTTCCTTTCCTCCTCCTCTGGTGGTTTACTGCGACAGGCCAACAAGCACTCCATGACCCTTTGATGCCTGTCGGAGCTGTTGATATGAGCTCGCACCAGAGTCTCCAGCTCATTCCACATGATGCGGTACTGCTCATCCCTGCCAAAACAGAGGCACGGTAATGACATAAGCCAGAGACTGCAAAGAATATTTTAAACCTTTAAAACTTTTCAGAAAAAGATAAAAAAAACTTTATGGAATCCAAAGCACAGCAAAAAAAGTGACAGAAAACTCATGCACAAACTGGTTTTTGCAAAATTGCATATTTAGGAGCCCATTTAAAAACAAGCAGCTGAAATAAAAAAAAAATTCGAAGTAAACACCCATTTAGGTGTTAATAGAATAGTTGCTGGAACACCTACCATTTATGAGTAAAACACCTGCCCTATCATACTAATGTTTTGAATAATTTGATAGTTTTAAAATTGTTTAACCATATTGTTTATATCGAACGGCCGGACGGTGGCACTGCAGGGTCGGGTGGCCATTTATAAATGGCCTCCCCGCACCCTGCTTGTGCGCGCTCCCTGGGAACGCGCAGCACCGCGATGCGGTGCCCGCTGTGTCCTCCGGACACAGTGAAACACCGACCGTCGGACGGGACCTCTGTACGAGGTCCCGAGCATGTGATCACTAATTGGCCAATCAGTGATCACATGCAAAGTAGTAAGCAAGATGTCACTTGTGACATCATTGCTTACTACATGTGAAATCTGTGAATGATCACAGAGGTCACATGGTACAAGGCTATTCACAACAGCCTTGTACCATGTGACAAGCTGTGACCAATCACAGCTCACTCAGTAGTTTTCAATGGCTGAAAGAATGCAACCAGAGAGAAAGAGAAATGATTGCTTTTACATCCTATATGGGTGTAAAAGCAATCAGTGTAAAAAAAAAAAAAAAAAAAAATCTCCCCCCCAAATAGTAAAGTGTCACCATGGTGACACTGTACTGCTAGGGTAACAGTATGTTAAAAAAAATAAAAATAATAATAATATAAAAACATAAGATAAAAATGTAAAAAAAAATGTTTAAAAATTATAATTTTTGTTTATAAACTAATTTGACTTTTTTTTTTTATTAAAAGGATAACTGAATAAATTTTGGCTAAGACTTATGAATAAATATTTATTTGCAAAATTTATAAGAAAAACACTTTTTAAAAAAAATGTTTTGGACTTTTTCATTTACATAGCAAAAAAATAAATAAAAATCCCAGAGGTGAATAAATACCACCAAAATAAAGCTTTATCTGTCTAAAAAAAAAAATGGTAAAACATTCATATGGGTACAGAGTTGCATAACCGCGCAATTGTCATTCAAAATGTGATAGCGCTGAAAGATGAAAATTGCCCTGGACAGGAAGGGGGTAAAAGTGATTTTTATAACCCTGCTTGATATACATGTGTGCCTGTACCATGTGTTTATCTTTTCCTGTACACTAAAATAAAAAAAAAGCATCTTAGAAAGAACAAAAAAACAAACAAAACAAAACAAAAAAAAAAAACCTGTGGTATGGCATACCACTAAAAAAAAACAAAAACAAAAAAACAGCCAATCCCCCCCATGATCCATAGTGCGATGATTTAAAACTGTGCACCGTGCTCCACTAGCTTTAGCTATCCAAAGCCAGAGGAACACAGTAGAAATATATGGGAGGAGGCAGCAAACATCCTGAACAAGAACACACCCAATCATTAGACCTGTCAAAATTAAATGACCATCTCTGCTCCAATCACGGAGCGCTCTATGTTGTATTAGGACCCGGTGAAGTACAAAGGCTACATACCAAATCCTTGTATTTTGTGACGGAGTCCTAAAATGCAGGACCTGGGTTGTATACCCCAATGGAATATAGCAGAGTGGATAGCGATATCACCATAAAGAGAAAACCCTCTACTTCACCTCTTTGGTCCTTTGCCCCGCGTGCCCGCTGTAGAAATGGGCAGTGGATCATTCTTCCTCTCCATATCCACCAGATTGTAGATGGTTTTCTGGCAGTTTAGGACATCTTCCTCAGTCAGAGTTTCCTTCACAATAACGCTGGCCAGTGGGACAACCTGCCAAAGACAGGGACAAAAATCAGGATATAATTGTATACCCCATTTAAGAACAGTTGTAGGAAGACACACCTACCGCCTGCATGTTAAAAATGGTGGTCTGCGAGATGATCATTGGCCAGTACCGTGTGTGTCGCTCAAGCTGGCATTTTGATCGCTCCAGGGGAACCTCCGGCGTTCCGTCTATCTTGTACCGTTGGTCCAGAAAGGGCATTAGTCTGTTTTCCCTCATGAACTCCCCAAAATCCTATGCATTGAAAAACACCATGGAAGTGACTGCAGTGAAAACACACACAAAAGTAACGTAAACATTTTAACATCAATTTGCTTAACCCTCTTCTACTGGCGGGAGCCGGCCATTTAAGGGTATCTTAACGGCAAAGGCATTTAGAGGGTTAACAGAACATGTGGTCTCTGATCATAAACAGTGACTGGGAACTGTCAGTGATTAAGTGGGCTCCAAACACAAAACAGAGATGCCAAATGAACACATACACTATATTGCCAAACGTATTGGGCCAGCCCTCCAAATCATTGGATCCAGGTGTTCCAATCACCTCCATGACCACAGGTGTATAAAATCAAGTACCTTGGCATGCAGACTGCTTCTACAAACATTTGTTAAAGAATGGGTCGCTTTCAGGAGCTCAGTGAATTCAAACGTGGTACCATGATAGGTTGCCACCTGTGCAATAAGTCCATCCGTGAAATTTCCTGGCTACTAAATATTCCACGGTCAGCTGTTAGTGGTATTATAACAAAGTGGAAGCAACTGGGAACAACAGCAACTCAGCCACGAAGTTGTAGGCCACATAAAATGACAGAGCGGAGTCAGTGCATGCTGAAGCCCACAGTACGCAGAAGTCGCCAACTGTCTGCAGAGCAGCTGCATTCAAGCCTTACATCAGCAAGTGCAATGCAAAGCGTCGGATGCAATTAAGTAAAGCACACCTCCACTGGACTCTAAAGCAGTGGAGATGTTGTTCTCTGGAGTGATGAATCACGTTTCTCTGTCTGGCAATCCAATGGATGTGTCAGGGTTTGGCGGTTGCCAAGAGAACAGTACTTGCCTGACTGCATTGTGCCAAGTGTAAAGTTTGGTGGAGGGGGGATTATGGTGTGGGGTTGTTTTTCAGGGGTTGGGTTTGGCCCCTTAGTTCCAGTGAAGGGAACTCTTAAGGCATCAGCATACCAAGACATTTTTTGGACAATTTCATGCTCCCAACTATGTGGGAAGTTTAGTGATGACCCCTTCCTGTTCCAACATGGCTGCACACCAGTGCACAAAGCAAGGTCCATAAAGACATGGATGAGTGAGTTTGGGGTAGAGGAACTTGACTGGCCTGCACAGAGTCCTGACCTCAACCCGACAGAACACCTTTGGGATGAATTGCAACATTATATATTTACCAATTTTTTTTTTTTTGTGCTAAAGTAATGAAAATAAGTAAAAAAAAAAAATATGTTGTATATTCCCTTTCAGTCTTGTGGCATTAACTTACCGTAATCCTATAATCTGTGACTCTTCCCCCGCAGCCCTCACTGATTGATGGAGGATCTTCCAGAATTGAGCGGGAGCTGCTCAGCACATGCAGGAAAATTTCCCCACCGTGGCTGCTCAGCATGTGACTGATCACTTTGGATCCGGACTTACGTGGCTGCTCCAGCAACACAGAACGGCCTGTGAAAAAACAATATATCTCACCTCAGTGATCAGATATTGAAAGGAACAACTGCAAGCTGAGTAGACGGAAGAAGAAAGTACGTATATGAGCTTCCAGGAAATAGCTTATGGTGGATGTGGTCAGTGTTGTGATGGAAAAATAGCATACAGGGAGGCGAGGCAGTGACCCCGTGTTTACAGAACATCAAAATCTGAAAAGTGTTGTCACTTGTTCCCTTTATACTCTACAGCCACAGAACAGAGATGGGTGATCAACACTGTATGTGCAATGTTTTACAATTCTTCTGGCGTGTTTTAAATATGAAGTTCAATCTGGTTATATTTTATCTTACCTGGTTCCTCCCTTTCTCCCCCCATCCCCTTCATCAACATGCCATTAGATTACATAACTTATTTTAGACCCAGTGACATATCAGTAGACCTGTGTGCTTCTCTATGCAATGTAGACAGATAATGGCTGGTGGGAGGGCTGACAGGGAAAATATCACAGAGCACCCTGATGCAAGCTGTAGGCTGGTTCTTGGAAGAAGTTATGTAAATATCAAAATGCCTTCATGGGTGGATGTCAGTCTGGAGGAGTGGGCAGGTTGTACTTGAATGCAGAACACTAGATAACACCCACAGGTGATGCTTCAAAATTGAAATCCAATGAAAGAAAGGGACAGGCCAAGGTCAGTCAGACAGGGAAGAAAATGGATAGACAATGCTGGACATTCTCCAGCCAAAATTTTACAGTTGTCACCAAAAACGAAGAGGGGGAAGTACACCTCTCATAGCGGCAACTGTCTAAGGAGTAAATTGAGGTAAAAAAACAAAAAACAAAACACATTCTTTATTAAGAATTAAAAAAAAAAAAAAAAAAAGGTTTTTATTTAGAACTTTACAAGGTGTGACCCAACTAACACAGAGTTGCCCCTTTTTGTTTAAACTGCAGAAAGTCTGTTTTTGACAACACTGTTTCATTTGCAGTTTTCTAACTCTAAAAAAAAAGAAGAGCAACTGTCTTATACTACCCTACAGCCAGCGTTCATCTGCACCAGAGATAACATGCACCTGATTAAGGAGACAACTTGGAAGAAAGAGAAAGCTGCAAAGAGCTGGTAACATAAACAAATGTTTGTAAATACTAACTGACTTTTTAATCTACTGTACAATGGGAGCAAGGCTGCACGTCACCTCAGTTCTTACCATTTAACAGAAAGTTGGTAAGGCAGGAAGATGGTCGGCTGTTCACATCTACTGGTGATATCCGAAACGCCCCTGTGCAGTAGTGCAATTCTAAAAGAAGAAACAGAAAAAGAAAATTATATATTACTATGTAAACCCTTAACAATGAACTTCTCTTATTTGATTGCTTTTTGTTTTGTTTAACCCCTTCCTACCAGCTGTATGCATACAGTTTATGTGGTAGCATGACAGTGGGCCTAAAGGCCAAGCTGCCACATGTATTTGTAAAGCAGGTGGCCCCATCTACCCACTGAAGACCTGTTTAACCGCTAGCCTACAGGGCACTTATACCCCCTACCTGCCCAGGCCAATTTCCAGCTTTCAGCGCTGTTGCACTTTGAATGACAATTGCGCGGTCCTGCAACACTGTACCCATATGAAATTTTTATCAATTTTTTGTAACAGATAGAGCTTTATTTTGGTGGTATTTAATCACCTCTCGGGTTTTTATTTTTTCTTAAACAAACCAAAAACCACTGAAAATTAAAAAAAAAAAAAAATTTTTTCTTAGTTTTTGTTATAAAAGTTTGTAAATATGTGATTTTTCTCCTTCACTGATGTGCGCTAATGAGGCTGCAGTGATGGGCAGTGATGCAGTGAAAGGCAGCCCTCATATATGGCACTGATGCACACTGATAGGCAGCACTGACTGGCACTGATAGGTGGTACTGATTAGCATTGATAGGTGGCACTGATGGGTAACACTGAAAGGCAGCTCAGGTGGGCACTGATATGTGGCATTGATGTCCACTGGTAGGCACTGAAATGTGGCATGGATGAGCAAAGACAGCTGGCACTGATGGACACTGATAGGTGGCACTGCTGGGGCTACACAGATCATCAGTGCCCTGATGATCAGTGCACATGTCCCCTCTGAGGGATGCCGATTACCGGCTCTCCTCTCGACAGCTCGTGAGGAGAGAAATGCCGATAACCGGCATTTCCCTATTAACATGCGATCAGCTGTGGCTCTTTCCATTGATCGGTGATCCGCTGTGTCCGAGGGACACAGCGCACCGCCGATCGCCGTGCTGCGCACTCCTGGAGCCGTGCATGCACGGTTAGAGTGGGAGGACGTCATATGATGTCCTCCCAGAATGAGAGAACTGCCTTGTGCCCATCATTGTACTATATGGCGGGCAGGGGGGGGCGGTTAAAAAAGACAGTTAATCAGAGATTCAAAGCTGTCCTGTGTGTTATGTAAAAAGCAATTTTCTTCTGCATTAAAAAGCCTGCCTGTTCTCAAAAGTTTCCAGTGTGTGTTGACAGTTGGCATGACCTGAGGAAAAAAAAAAATAATGGGGCTTGGAACCAGGAAACACCCTAGCAGCAATTTTAAATTCAAGAGCAGTAAGAAGATGACTGAGTACTATAATACTTGCATGTACTCTACATGGCCAAAAGTATGGAGGACCTCCCTTCAAATTTTGAGTTTGTTACCAGAGACTGTTAATGCTACAGGAAAGCAAGACATTTTACACAATTGCACACTTCCACCTATTTATGGAAAGCCCGTTCAGTTTAAGGGCTCATTCACACCATGGTGCAGAGACATCAGTTTTTCTGCACACCTTCTGCAAGGGCACAACTGAATCAAATGTTCTCCATGTGCCCTGTTCACACTACAACACTAGTATCATGTGCAGATTATTTTCTGCACAAGAATCTGCAACGTGCATAATACAGATTGAAGCGCACATGAAAACTGGTGTAAACTGATGTCTCTGCAAGTGAAATCTGCGTGTCAGTTTCCATCAGCTTTTCTGCACATATGGTGTGAACGAGCCCTTAGGCTAAACATACACTAGTAGAATTTAATTCAAACTTTTTCCTTTCAAGACGTTCATTTGATTTTTCGCTCGTGGGGTCAAATTGGTTTGTTTTCGACCACAGTGACAAGAAAATTTAAAGAAGCAGGATGGATACTTTTTCTTGAACAAACTAATTTACAAACAGGTGGTTTTTGTTCGGTAAAATCCATGCATTCCAAAATCAGATTTCAAAATTTAAAGCAAACAAAAATTTGAAGTCATTTCTAATGACATACGTCAAGTCATCAAATGTGCAGAGAATTTTCCTACAATCGTTTTGTTCATAAATCTACTAGGGAATAGCTAAGCTTTAGTATGACCGCGTGCCATTGCATAAAGTCAGCTCCAAAAAGACGTGATTTGACCAGTTTGGTGTGGGGAACTAAAATGTCCTGCACAGAGCTCTGATCTCAACCCTACTGAGCTTATTTGGGATGAACTGAAACTCAGATCGTGAGCCAGGTCTTCTTGTGCAACATGTTTATCCACCTTACAATTCACCAATTCTCACAGATGCACCAAATTCTTGTGGCAAGCCTTTCAAGAAGAGTGGATAGTTGTTATAGCTGCCAAAAGGGAGGGGGTTTGGAAGGGAAAATCCATAATAATGCCTATAGGTTTGAAGTGGGATATCCAACAAGGTCAAAGCATACCATTTAAGGAACCTACAGAGATTTAGGCTGATCAGTATGCTGCTGCTCCTTCATTGTGCAGTCACAAGGCTGGGGATGGAGAGGACATGGTTGTATTTCTTAAAAGGATAAATTTGGGATTTGGAAAAAAAAACTAAACAAAAAACAAACAAAAAAAACCCCAAAACACTATATTCACCTCTATGCTGCAGCATTGGTGTGATGCTGCAGCTGTCCCACATCAGCTCAAAGCCCAAGAACTGAGTGATCACATGACAGCTTATTCATCAGTACTCTGTCTACTCGTAGCAGAGAGTAGTGACTGTCAGCTGGCACTCATTTGAGCTGCTGGGCAGGGGAGGGGGGTGGGCTCAGCTGGCTTCGGCTCTGAGAGCCGGAGCCAGCTTTCAATCAATCAACTGGGTGAATCCTGACAATATTGGGTCTGGGTTACAGGAGAACAAAAGTAAATGCAATCCTGTGACCTAAGAGAGAAGTATGACCTAAAAAGCTTTGGCCATACTTCTCTCTTAACTGAAAGTGCTGTCATCCACCTGTTTGTGCTTTTCAATTCTCAAGACTTGATGGACAGAAATACAAATCTATTGGCAGGTAAAATGTCTCTCTTATGTATATTTCTTTTGAGTATTTAGGTGTTTGCCTGGAGTTCTACTTTAAGTTGCTGTAGCTGTCGGGCAGCCCAGACTGCTGCATCCAGAAACATTACGTTGAACATTTTGCACTTACCAATGCTATTTGTTCTTGGTGTGCACCACTTCAGAGTGACTGTGTCTTTCAGTGTGGCTTCCCGACTGTTTACTTCTCCTAATGGGAACACAAAGAGGACCCGTCACTGTACACTTAACTGCTAAAACGATTGATCATTATATATATATATATATCAAATCCTTTATCTATCCAGGGCATGTGTGACTATTAGTTTTGAAGCCAAGAAAAGTCCCAGCATGCATTGCCTGTTCACTGAGCAATCTGGCCAACTATTCTCTCTGTGAAAAGTATTTAATGCACAATTTTGATCCTCCAGGGAAGAAAACATGCCCTTATCTACATGTCAGCTTACCATTTTTTATAAACTCCATGTGTGCATCCTTGTGGTGGAGAAGCTCCACATCATAGTTGGCAGACGTGTTAGCGTGTTGTTCTTCCTTAATATACACAAAGAAAGCAAGACACTGTGAAACCACACCATCAAAGACAGCATAGCTGAAAAGTACATTCCAAGGAAATTCCTGCAACACCAACACTTAATTTTGCAGCAGATTTCATAAATTCTGCAAGAATAGTACAAAGTCAAATTCAGGAATGTACACAGCTTGGATTTAAAAAATATACATTTGATGCTATATTAATGAATACAGAACTACATTAATTTGTGTATGTTATATCTGTCTGGGGTTCAGCTTTAACACTGATGGGTTCAGGTCATCATAGTGGTTGACTTTATCAGGCTGCACTGAAAGTGAAGCAATCAACCTGCTGGAAACTGTAAAATGTTCCAATCTTTTTTAATTGAATTGGCTGTTTGAATTGCAAACTAAATGATCAATTTTGATAAAATAATTACAGGAAACTGATACACGAGTGGGCAGGGGAAGAACAGAGAAAATATACCTAAGCCCGCCATAGATGGTTTGATATTTGGCAAATTCAGCAGCGACTGGACAAGATTCAGACCATCTATGGGCAGGCTGATTTTACCCAAGTCGATTGTTGTAGGACTTGGGTACAACCAGCATGTCCTGTTTTTACATGTGATTATTGCCAGCTGCTGTAGCTGCTAGCAATAACCACTGTGTCTTCCCGGCAGGGACGGTTCGCCACACACCCCTGTTGGGAGAACGCAATAGCTCCAAGGAAGGGATTACCCCATCAACCCATAGCTGCAGGAAAGAAAATCATCTATGGCCTGCCTTTGAGCTGTTGACTTGCATCAGCTGACTTTTTTTGCACCGGAACACCAGATTCCAAATAATACATTGAACAGCAGATTGGCCTCTTTGTGCTCCAGTGAACCAAAAGGTGTGGAAATGAGCAGGCATTGTGGAATTATCACAGTTCATTCTGTATAATAAACATATGTACTTATAAGTACACATTTATCATAATGACTTAAGAAGAACAAAGACGGGAATATGAATGTAATCACCATGCAGTGATCAAGAGGGTAAATACCCACCACCTGGAGCTCGGGAGGGTAGAGATCCAGGACCTAGAGCTGAGGAATGTAGACAGCGCTCCGGAGGGAGGAGCCCCTACCCCGTACAGCTAAGGAAGGGAGGGGACCCTACCCCGTACAGCTAAGGAAGGGAGGGGACCCTACCCCGTACAGCTAAGGAAGGGAGGGGACCCTACCCCGTACAGCTAAGGAAGGAAGGGAGGGGACCCTACCCCGTACAGCTAAGGAAGGAAGGGAGGGGACCCTACCCCGTACAGCTAAGGGAGGGAGGGGACCCTACCCCGTACAGCTAAGGGAGGGAGGGGACCCTACCCCGTACAGCTAAGGGAGGGAGGGGACCCTACCCCGTACAGCTAAGGGAGGGAGGGGACCCTACCCCGTACAGCTAAGGGAGGGAGGGGACCCTACCCCGTACAGCTAAGGGAGGGAGGGGACCCTACCCCGTACAGCTCAGGAGGGAGGAGCCCCTACCCCGTACAGCTCAGGAGGGAGGAGCCCCTACCCCGTACAGCTCAGGAGGGAGGAGCCCCTACCCCGTACAGCTCAGGAGGGAGGAGCCCCTACCCAGTACATCTCAGGAGGGAGGAGCCCCTACCCAGTACATCTCAGGAGGGAGGAGCCCCTACCCAGTACATCTCAGGAGGGAGGAGCCCCTACCCAGTACATCTCAGGAGGGAGGAGCCCCTACCCAGTACAGCTCAGGAGGGAGGAGCCCCTACCCAGTAAAGCTCAGGAGGGAGGAGCCCCTACCCAGTAAAGCTCAGGAGGGAGGAGCCCCTACCCCGTACAGCTCAGGAGGGAGGAGCCCCTACCCCGTACAGCTCAGGAGGGAGGAGCCCCTACCCCGTACAGCTCAGGAGGGAGGAGCCCCTACCCCGTACAGCTCAGGAGGGAGGAGCCCCTACCCCGTACAGCTCAGGAGGGAGGAGCCCCTACCCCGTACAGCTCAGGAGGGAGGAGCCCCTACCCCGTACAGCTCAGGAGGGAGGAGCCCCTACCCCGTACAGCTCAGGAGGGAGGAGCCCCTACCCCGTACAGCTCAGGAGGGAGGAGCCCCTACCCCGTACAGCTCAGGAGGGAGGAGCCCCTACCCCGTACAGCTCAGGAGGGAGGAGCCCCTACCCCGTACAGCTCAGGAGGGAGGAGCCCCTACCCCGTACAGCTCAGGAGGGAGGAGCCCCTACCCCGTACAGCTCAGGAGGGAGGAGCCCCTACCCCGTACAGCTCAGGAGGGAGGAGCCCCTACCCCGTACAGCTCAGGAGGGAGGAGCCCCTACCCCGTACAGCTCAGGAGGGAAGGGATTAACCCTGTTGAGCTCAGGAGGGAGGAGATCCATCACTTGGAGCTCAGGAGGAAAGAGACCCACCACAGAGTGTAGGAGAGAGGGGACCCATCACTCCAAGTTTAACTACTTCAAGTCCAGACACTTTTACCCCCTTCCTGTCCAGGCCAATTTTCAGCTTTCAGTGCTATCACAATTTGAATGACAATTGCGCGGTCATGCAACACTGTACCCATATGAATTTTTTAGCATTTTTTTGGAGACAGATAAAACTTTTTTTCGTGGTATTTATTCACCACTGGGATTTTTATTTATTTTTTGCTATATAAATGAAAAAGTCCAAACATTTTGAAAAAAGTGTTTTTCTCTTTTCTTTGTGTTGTTTTTTTTTTTTTTTTTTTCTTTTTTTTTTTTTTTTTTTTTTTTTTTTTTTTTGTTTTTTTTTTTTTTCTTTTTTTTTTTTTTTTTTTTTTTTTTTGTGTTTTTCTTACAAAATTTTGCAAATAAATAATATTTCTTCATAAATTTATTCAGTTATCTTTTTAGTAAAAAAAAAAAAAAAATAACCCAAATTAGTTTATAACCAAAAATTATAATTTTTCAAAAATGTTGTTTACATGTTTATTTAATTTTTTCATATTATCATTTATGGGTTTTTTTTTTAAAACATACTGTCACCATAGTGACACTGTACTACTTATGGGGGGGGGGGTGATGACATTTTTTTTTTTTTTTACACTGATTGCTTTTACACCATAAAGGCTCTAAATCAATAATTTCTCTTTCTCTCTGGTTGCATTCTTGCAGCCATTGAGAAATACTGTATGAGCTGTGATTGGTCACAGCTTGTCACATGGTACAAGGTTGTTGTGAATAGCCTTGTACCATTTGATCTCTGTGATCATTCACAGATTTCATACGTAGTAACCAATAATGTCAGAAGTGACATCTTGCTTACCACTATTCATGTGATCACTGATTGGCAATCAGTGATCACATGATCGGGACCTCACACAGAGCGATCCTCCGGACACAGCGGGCACTGGATTGCGGTGCTGCACACTCTCGGAGTGCACACAGGCTAAAATGGCAGGTGCTGTTTATGAACGGCAACCCGCTCCTGCACTGCTCCTGTCTGTCGGTTTATATACATGGGCTGGACGGGAAGTGGTTAAGAGGGAAGATTCCCATATGTGGTTCTGATGGGTTTTTTTTTGGTTCTATTTATCATAAAAGGACATACATTTGCAGTAAAATAAAAATTTTTGCTTAGGTTAAATCTTTTTAAGGCCTAAGGAGCCAAAACCCTGAAAATAAGACAGATGTAGAAATCTAAAAGAAACAAGTACTAGCTATGGAGATCAATGCCAGTATTACAGCCAAGCAGAAGCAGTTCCAGGGCTGCTCCATGTGTGTTCAAAGATTATAAAATAAAATACAGCTGCCAACAGCACAGCAGAGGTTCACGCACACAATGGCTGTCTTTGCTCTCCAGAGACTATTTTTTCCCCATTTTGAAATGGCCATAATATAAACAAAAATTTGCAATATGGGTTTCCCTTTAGTGGGAATGTTAGCAGGAATTTCCAAGAAATGTTTTAAGTCCTGAAATGCAAATGAATACCTTTATATATTGAAAAAAAATAAAAAAAACGGTTAAAGAAAAGATGGTCTAAGCACTGAACACTACACAGCAGGAAATGAAAGTGGAGACATTAGAAATGGAAATTTCTGTAAATTTTGGAGATTTTGCTATGGGGTGGGGTCCTCTCTGATGTACAGCTCTCTGGCCCTCTAGGAAGCTACAACCCTGTTCCGCTCACCCCATAGAAGCTGAGAATGCAGGGAGCTGTAGGAGCTGGGGTTCCTGTTCCTGCTCTATAGGCCTCAAGTGTAAAAGTGTGTGTGTGTTTCCAGTAGCAATTAAATACTACAATATATTTTTTAACTAGAGGAAATAAGGAAGAAAGGAATCAAGATGATTGCCTGCAGCAATACAGATTTGTTTTTTTTACAGAAAGCTTCAGATGGTTGTCAAGTAAATAAACACCCCTGTCTGTGGAGATTCCCTGTTGCAGAGATAGGCCCATGTCGGGCCAGTGATCCTAACACTAGTAGTAACTAGCTCACTACACAGAAACTCACCTGCACAGTGAGTGGTAGAAGCAACTGGTTCATTCCACTAATAGTGATCCTGTCATTGGCGAGTTGCTGCCAGCAACAGGATTGTTAGTCCACACGGGCTGTAGTGATGCAGAAGCCATGCTAGGCTTCACCAATAAGGGAGGAACAACTTATACTGTCTATACAGAAAAAGAAAACTCTTTGCTTATCTGGTAGAAGGAAAGGAAGAATGTGATTGGTGATATCAGCAATTCTTTCTTCAGACGCAGAGGCAAAAAGTGTGCTAAGGGGAACATTTCTTGTTGCCCAGAATGACCAGAGCCCTGTTCTTTTTCAAACCTGGACTGAGATTCTAGAAGCTGAATGGTTGCTGTGGGCAATAAGACGTTTCTGTTGTAGTGCATACAGGGGCGGACTGACCATTTGTAAACTCAGGCACTGCCCGAGGGCCCAGGGTCAGTAGGGGGCCCCATGAGATGCCCCTGGTACCTTTTTCATAGGCATTTTTGAGTTTGGGCAAGGACACAGGGGCCCCATGATCCCCTATTGCCCAGGGGCCCCCCATGAGTTGTCAGTCCACCCCTGAGTGCATAGTTACCCCATCATGGGAAAACCCTGAGCAAAATTAGAGCAGTTGCCTGCAGCACCCCTTTCTTTCTTTCATATAGAAAATGAGAGAAGAGCCCTGATTGGCTGTTAAGCGCAAAGGACCCACTTCTATACATTCGCCTTTCAGTCTCTAATAACTCTCAGAACAGTAGTTACAGTATTTCCCTTCAGATTCAAACCTACTTTAAAAATTGTTAGAATATTGAATCAGATTTCTGACTGTGGAAATAATGACAGTTCTTTAGAACAGGAATCCAGTTGGGAAAAAAGACACAGTGCTGCAAACAAGGCTCAACCAGGGGCGGACTGACCATTTGGAAACTCGGGCACTGCCCGAGGGCCCGGGGTCAGTAGGGGGCCCCATGAGATGCACCTGGTACCTTTTTCATAGGCTTTTTTTTTAGTTTGGGCAAGGACACAGGGGTCCCATGATCCCCTAGGGCACTGCCCGAGGGCCCAGGGTCAGTAGGGGGCCCCATGAGATGCCCCTGGTACCTTTTTCATAGGCTTTTTTGCATTTGGGCAAGGACACAGGGGCCCCATGAGTTGTCAGTCCGCCCCTGGGTTCAACCTGCAAACAATAGAAAACTCTGCTAAAAACTTTATTTAAGCCCAATTGATTTCTTGCACCTTTTCTCTCTCTATGATTCTATATTGCCCTTATGTTATATTAAATGATTTTGCTTAGAAATGTTTTAAAGCAGAACTCCTGTTTACAATGTACTACTAAGCTGGGCTAGCACAGGGAGTAGTGACTCCATTCCATTACCTTCTCTGCAATATAGCCTTATATATTATTCCACACAGAGGAAATCTTCTCTACAAATTAACTTCTATATGAGCGACATCCAGTGTCACATTTCCTGGAAAAGAGCAAACAGTTGGCGCAAACACCTAGTGCATTATCCACGGTTTATTAAAAAATGTATAAAACACAAAACCATACTCACAAATGTAGCATGTATAAACGCTTTGTATGACAATGGAGATGGCCACAACATGGGCAAGATGTCCAACTGTCAGTGCAGTTGGGTTTCTAACGCGATTCGGGGACGAGTCCCTTTCCTCAGAGCTTGCAACTGAATATGTTCATCATTTTTTCATACCTTGACTACGATATTTTATACATTTGAATGTATTATATACATATATTTTTAGAGGATTTCTGTCATGATGTTTGACACACAGGTATTTGTTTTTATTGCATTTATATGCCAGTCCTTTGTTTTAATTAATTAACCCCAGTGACCCTCCCCCCCTTTACGAGCTCAAGGAAAGGAGCATTGCTCTTATTGGCATCAGCCATAGTTACTTATGTCATGACCTACATCCAGGTGGGTCACAAGCTCTGAGGAAAGGGACTCGTCCCCGAAACACATCAGTAAACCCAATCACACTGACAGTTGGACATCTTGCCCATGTTGTGGCCATCTCCATTGTCATACAAAGCGTTTATACATGCTACATTTGTGAGTATGGTTTTGTGTTTTATACTTTAATAATCCGTGGATAATGCACTAGGTGTTTGCACTTTTCCAGTTGTTGATTTTCCCCATCTGAGGGCTGCATCCCCAACACGTTATCCATAGGCCACCACTAGCATTGGTCCCTTGGCCTTCCTTTGGCAATTGATTCCTGGAGCCCTGGAGAGCACAAACGTTTGATAGCCATTTCCTGTCCAAGCTGGCTGTCCTGTTTACACCACCTTAGAGTTCTTCACACTACAGGGGTGACATAGTGATGCCCCCCAGACTGCTAGTGGGAAATACTAGTGGTGGACTAATGTCAAATACACTGCAGCCTCACACTCCTCGCTGCTCAATTTGCAAAGTATTCTGGGACTTATGATCCCTGGGTGGGTGTACTCCTCACTTGCAAGTTGTGGAGTACTGCTCCTTTATGTACAAGCCCACTTAAGGTAGATTACTGGAAATCAAGTATCAGTAGATGTTTACTTTAAGAAAAAATAGATTCTATATACTTAGAGGCAGCCCTGTTATAGCAGGTTAGATTGTCTCTTCAACAGGGCAGATCAAACAGCTCTCCCTACCTAACTACTGCTTTAAAGGGAAACCACAGTGGTTTGAAGGCACACACACACAAACACGATATAAAAAGTCTACACACCTGTGTTAAAATGTCAGGTTTCTGTGATGTAAAAAATGAGACAAAGATAAATCATTTCAGAACGTTTTCCACCTTTAATGTAATCTATAAACTGTACAACTTCGTTGAATAACAAACTGAAATCTTTTAGGTGGAGGGAAGTAAAATGAAAAACTAAAATAATATGGTTGCATAAGTGTGCATACCCTTAAACTAATAATTTGTTGAAACACCTTTTGATTTTATTCCAGCACTCAGTCTTTTTGGGTATGAGTCTATCAGCATGGCACATCTTGACTTGGCAATATTTTCCCACTCTCCCTTGCAAACACACTCCAAATCTGTCAGATTGCGCAGGCATCTCCTATGCACAGCCCTCTTCAGATCACCCCACAAATTTTCGATCGGATTCAGGTCTGGGCTCTGACTGAGTCATTCCAAAACTTTAATCTTCTTCTGGTGAAGCCATTTCTTTGTTGATTTGGATGTATGCTTTGGGTCATTGTCATGCTGAAATATGAAGTTCCTCTTCATGTTCAGCTTTCAAGCAGAAGCCTGAAGGTTTTGTGCCAATATTGACTGGTATTTGGAACTGTTCATAATTCCCTCTACCTTGACTAAGGCCCCAGTTCCAGCTGGATAAAAAAACAGCCCCAAAGTATGATACTGCCACCACCATGCTTCACTGTCGGTATGGTGTTCTTTTGGTGATGTGCAGTGCTGTTTTTGCACCAAACATATCTTTTGGAATTATGGCCAAAAAGTTCAACCTTGGATTCATCAGAACATAACACATTTTCCCACATGCTTTTGGCAGACTTCAGATATATATTTTTGCAAAATTTAGCCAGGCTTGGATGTTTTTCTACGTAAGAAAAGGCTTCCGTCTTGCCACTCTACCCCATAGCCCAGACATATGAAGAATATGGGAGATTGTTGTCACATGTACCACACAGCCAGTACTTGCCATATATTCCTGCAACTCCTTTAACCACTTCCAGACCGGACACTTTTACCCCCTTCCTGACTAGGGCAATTTTCAGCTTTTAGCGCTATCTTACTTTGAATGACAATTGCGCGGTCATGCAACACTGTACCCAAATGAATTTTTTACCATTTTTTTTGAGATAGATAAAGCTTTATTTTGGTGGTATTTATTCACCACTGGGATTTGTATTTTTTTTGCTATGTAAATGAAATGTCCAAAAATTTAGAAAAAAAGTGTTTTTTTAATAAAATTTTGCAAATAAATAATATTTCATCATAA